GGAGCACTGGAACAGGTTGCCCAGAGAAGCTGTGGATGCCCCATCCCTGGGAGTGTCCAAGGCCAGGCTGGATGAGGCTTGGAGCAACCTGGTCTATGGAAGGTGTCCCTGCCCACGGCAGGGGGTGGGAGTGGGTGGGCTTTAAGGTCCCTTCAACCCAAACCGTTCTGTGATTCTGGGATTCTGTGCAGTGTGTTTGGTAAACAGCCACTTCCAGCCGGCTGCAGCGCAGGGCCCGTCTTTGCACAGAAAGTGACCCCCCACCTGAACCCAGGGCACGCTGCAGCCCCTTGCCCCAGGTCCCTCAACCCAGACCGGTACAACACGTGTGTGGGGAGGCGGCTGGCATCGAGGAGAGCAGTGCTGAGGACTCTGAAATCATTAAAATGACACAATCCGTAGGCAAAGGTTACTGGGGGCTCCCAGCAAGGACGGGGATGGCCCCGCACACAGCCGGCTGCATCCCGTCCTGTGGTGCTTGACCGCTGCACATCTGCAACCCTTTCTCTTTTCTTCTCTTTTTTTCCCCCCCTCTGAGATCACTTTAAATGTCCAGATCAGGGCATAATTAGACAAGCAGTTAAAGTGGCAGCCGGGCGAGGGCAGTGACCCTCGGTGGTGGCAGGAAGCAGCAGGGGTAGGTGGGCTGGGGGTGCAGCCCCCCACCCGCTCTGCACACAGCACCCGCCAGGCAGCCAGGAGTTAGCACTCGCTTGCAAATGCTCCTTTTCCAACACCCATCACAGCCTCAGTTTCTTCATCTGCCCAAAGAAAACAGGCATTTTGGTTAAACGGCTGGGCTGGATGGGGCTTGGAGCAACCTGGACTAGTGGAAGGTGTCCCTGCCCATGGCAGGGGGTGGGACTGGGGGGGGCTTTAAGGTCCCTTCCAACACAAACCGTTCTGGGATTCCATGATTCCAAGCAATGGCTGTCCCATGCGCTGCGCTGGCACCACTCTCTCAGGCACAAGTTGCCCCGGTGCTCTCCATCGCCCAGCCCAGCAACACTGGGTCCGACCCATCGCACGTGGCCAGGGACAGCCCCACCATCGCTTGTGCCCCAGCATCGGTGCGTGGCCATCAAACCCTCCCCATCCGCACCCAGCTGGGGCTGGGCACTGCGCTCTCGGCGCTCGGCTGTCGGACCCGCCAGAGCGTGCGTTTCCATGCGGGGCTACTTGGCCGCCGCGCTCCCTTATCGCCGCCGCGACCTTTGCTGGTGGCAGATCAGTGGCTGGAGACGGTTGGATTTGTTTGATTTCTGTTGGTGGTTCTTAGGCAGAGGAAGTGCCAGAAGGGATTTTGACCTCAAGTTTAAACCTATTGTAATTAGGGCCACTGAGCCTTTAATTACCATGCTCCGGCCACTTCAGTTAAAGCAACAACAAAAACAAACACAAAATCTGGTGGAAGACGGGCTTTTCTGCTCATCAGCTCTTCAATCTGCCGCCCGCTTGGTCCGTGTGCTGGCGCAGGGTGTTTCGGCCCACAGAGCCCCTCACCGTTGCCTCTGGACTCGGCAGCTGCCGAAGTGACTCCGCTCCGTGGTGACACCCATGGGCAGGAGGTGCGCTGCCCTCGCCCACTGCCCACTCCGTGCCCTGACCCATGGCTGTGGGATGGGGTGTAAGCAAAGCACAGTCTGCGGTGGGATGACTCTAACTACAGCCACCTCGTGTACTGCTCCCGTAAGCCTTGGATTTTACAAAATCCGGCCAGTTTGGTCACCTGGGTGGCCTCTAATCACCTCTGGTAGCCACACGATGGGAACAGTGGTACAGGGAAGCCACCGAATGACCCTTCCTGCACCTCTTTTCCATTCCCCACAGCCCGTAAGCCTGTTTCCACAGGCGGAGCCGTGTCTTCGCAGCCGGCCGACTGTAGCTTTGGCGCTGGGCAGAGCCCAGGCGCAGACCGACATCTAAGGCACGCTTAGCTAAATGGAAGAGCAGGGAGCTTGGTGCTTCTTGCATAGAAACAGTGAGATTAGTAAATTTAGGGTGATTTGCTACGGAACCTCAAGGTCTATTACCATTTTTTGTTACCCCCTTCCAGGGCCAACAGCCACAGAGGTCCTGTGCTGGTTCGGAGGGCTACTCGCTCAGAGCCTGCTCGCCAGCATTTCAGCATGCTGATCACAGCCCAACCCCGGGGAGACTCCGATGCTCCCAGTCCAAGAAATCCTGGGATTATCATCTTGGCAACTGGTTAAGTTTGAATCTGTCTGAACCTGCTCAGAGTTTTACGGCGCTGGAGGGAGAAAACAGCCCGGCTGACAACGTGCAGGCAGGAAGGCCGAAGGTATCCATCTGGTCACCGCAGACGACCACAGACTGGCCGCTTATGTGGTACGAAGTGGCTGAGCTGTCACAAACCCAAAATAATCATTTGAGCTGGGAGTGGGTGTTAACCCACGCCGAGCACAAACCTTCACACGCCGCCAGCCACCCGCTTTGGGCAGCACAGCCCCCCCCCGGTGCTCCCCGAACGGCTGTCTGCGGTGGAATGACAGAGCAGTAGGTGTCTGCAGCTTCGGGCCACTGGATGAAGGGGGGCAGGGATGCCACATAACACAAGGCCGATCTACCAAGTTTGGGTAAATGTGACTCAGAGTTCACTCGTGCTACAGATTTTGGCTTGCAGGATAAACTCCGTAATTCTCCCTGTGTACACCCCTCGTTCAACAACCTCCACCGGTTGCCATCAGCCCAACTGCTTCTTTGCGAGGACTGTACGTTGGAGTTCAGCCATGAACAGGGCAGGTAACTGTGTATGCAAGGCTAAGCAAAACCCAACGCACCCCAAAAACGTGTGGACGCGCCGCTCCCGGACCTGCCTGGCCACTGCTGGAGATGGGCTCGGGGTTTGCAAACCTGGTTACGAGAGGGAAGAGAGACGCTTGGAGACCTGTGACACACCTTGTATGGAAAAGGGATGAAATTCCCACAGGTGATCTGCGTCTGGGATGAGTAACGGGGTGCAGTCAAGCACTGAAACGAAATGAAACACTGCTCTGCAGGGCAATTTGCTACGTAAGTGACGTTTATTAAGGTTCTGCTGTATTTACAGGTTTGACATAGTAAAACTCCAAAGTGAATTAGCACGGCAGTGCACACCAAATCTACGCCTAGAACGCACCCTAATCACTGCTGACAGGAATTAGAAAAGCGAGAATTACAGGTATGTTAGGAGTTGTCTCAAAAGTCCCAAGCCGAAGGGAAAAAACCCCACAAGGCCGTTGTTTCGCAAGGTCCTTTCTTCTCCGAGGTTGCGACGCGAGCGTTCGTTTTTGCGCTACCGAGGCGCACCGTGAAAAGCCCCGCGCAGTCCAGGAAGTCGGCAGTATGGAAGTAAGGAATAGGGCGACACTGCGAACACAGGCTACGAAAAGAACGAATGCTCGTGCCACCTGCAACATCCCGCCCCCCACCCCGTTACCCCTCAGCAACCTGATCGGCGGGGGGGGGGCTTCCAGCAGCACCGAGGTGCGACCCTGGCCGTGCCACCGCTTCGGAGGACAGGACGGAGTCCCGCTGCTCCCGGGACGCCAGGAAATAAAGCAAGGCTGTCCCCTGCCGGCTCCGGGGCCAGGGCTCAGGCTTCCCAACTGCCACAGGAACTCCCTCCGGCAGGCTCTACCAGCACGCCACAGACGCGACTGCAATAGCGGTTTCAAACATTAGCCACTAACGATTACAGAACTCTGCATTAATTATTAAAATTTTACACCTAGAAACAAATAGAAAGAAATGCTTCTCCTTTTTTCTCTTTCTTTCCCAACAGTACTTTTATTTTTTTTATTTCCAAGCAGGTGATTATGGTTTTTTCTGCTGCTCCAGAGTCTTGATTCACTTCCTGCAGGTGTCCTGCTGCTTCTTGAGGGAGAATTCACCAAGGCAGGAAGACGTTTGCCAGAAAACATCTGTCGGAGAAGGATAGTGAATGTTGAAGCTATAGTTAGATCCTTGTTGTGGATAACAGAAGGGTGTAGCGCAGGATGATGCGTAAAGGCTTACGAAGCACTGCGGTACACAATGACGCGACCCCAGCAGAGGCACGTTCTGCTCTACTAGGCTCGGCAGTTCTGTGGGTGTTTTACGGTTCAGAGGAGTTCAAAATTCCTTAGGGGAAAACAGATGCTAAAGCAGACAATGCTCTTAGAACACTGGCCTAAAACCATCCAGGTGTATGAAATCCCACTGCAGTTGCACCACGAGAACGCAATTTGACTCGGCCTTCAGCGGCTGCCCCCACCCGGGGTGACAATGAGGTTTGTATCTCCCACTGACTGTCCGTTCCAGCCACGCCAGCTGGGACGGCGCAAAGCTGGGACCCACCACAGCCCCTGGTCACCCAGCTGTGACCCGGCCGGGACCACGCCAAACCTGGGGTCAACACCACCA